ATTCCATAAAATGTTAAATCGAGTCCTGTCGAGTTCCTGATTTTGTGAAATTTTCTGATCTCTAATTTCCGTGATTATCAATGTGAAAATAAGTAGGCAGTGGTTGATTTTTCTTCCAATTTTTTACTTTGTATGAAATAAAATAATGAAAATTCATACCATAAAAATAAGGGAAATGCATGTTCCATCTCGTGACGTGCATGGAAAATACATTGTACATCCATTTTGACTCAGAGTTTTGGTAAAACAACAAAATTGTTAAGACAATAATTGTGTAGATACGGAAACTCCTCCCACCGACGAGTTGTTCTGGGAAAGATGTGAGATTTGTCAAGGAAAATATTTCCGTGTTTCTAGTAAGTGCAGAAACATCTAAAATAGATTACATGTTCAGTATGACCAGGAATAGAGCTACTGACCAATACCACAATAACATCGCTTAGAAGTCGTTAACCAGTACTTCTTTGGGACAATGCCAGTTTCAGTCTATAAACCGTACATTACGTAACGGTGTATTCAGGCTGCAAGGAACGACAACTCTAGTAGAGATTAAAAACTTCCCGTTGGTCTGGAATGAGTGTTTATGGAATACTTAGGAATATGCGGAAATTTCATTATTTTGATAAATCTATATTTATATGTTGTTTTGATTTATAATTAAGCATTTTTAAATGATGTTATTAAAAGAACAACTATAAATGCAATTATAATATTTTCATTTCTTACTTCATGGTCGTGCAAGTTTCCTGGTATCCTGCCAAATTGTAATTGTGCACTGGAATATCATACATAAGATATTAACATAGCTTCATTTTACGTGATTATAAAAAAATACATGAATGATATCATGTAGGTTAGATCACTATTCATTCATTTAATTGCTTGTAATAAATATGCTTCGATGACCTTCAGTAATAGGAATAAGGTTAGACAGAAACTGCACAGAACGCAGAGTCGACGTACGAATAAGACAAGTCTCCGACGGTCTAACAACGCCAGAACAACCTTGTATCTTGAACGGAACTTTGCCTTAAGAATTGCGTATTGTTTAAAACTGGTCTTTACTGAAATTCGGACCTGTGCAATACACAGAAAGATGTATATAGAAAACACATTCTTTGATAGGTGGTCCTTTCAGGAGTTTGTATCGGTGCCACATCTAAGAGGCAGTACTTTCTTCTGTATTGCAAGTGTTTTTGGCATGTTATAATGAGGCAGTGGTATTACAGGCCTGTTACTGTCACTATTAGAGAACAGATGGTCATAACTGAAATCTAAACTGTGATACAAAATATCAGTCCTACTGTAATATTGATTTATGAAAGCCTGACCTCACACAAGTTTCAGGAATAACTCATAATCATCGATAAACATGTATCATTTTTCTCTGGTTCTTTTCCGCAGACGTGAAACAGTATGATGAAGGATGATATTTATTTACACATATATACACATGTATTAACTAAATGATCCTTCACATCTAGTAAGTGCGGCCGCCGTCGCTGCCTCGCCGTTACGGAATTTCCGGGCACCACTTAGGTCGGCAACTATGCCGACGTCTCTTGCCTGACGTTCCTCGACGTATTCTGCTCCATGCCAATGCCTCAGCGGTATACTCGTCCCAGGTCCCCTGTTACGGCGGCAATTCCTTATCGGCAAGTGCAGCGAGGTCCAGATTACAAAAAAGATAAATTACGTGGTCAACCACTTCCTAGTGCAGCGAAATAGGAAAAGACCTTCGGCCAGATGATGGTGATAATGATGGTGGTTGTTTTTCGTCTCCATGACTCTGCCCGTTGCCGTGCATTGTCCAACCGACTGGAGTCGATTCTTTTGCGACGTTATCAGGGTGCTCTCCCCATGGGTGGAGTCGTCTGGGGATTGATTGGTCTGAAATTTGGAGACGACTCCTTGGCCAAGTGATTAATCTCTATGAGCTGTCTGGACTTCCGGTGGTGGATGGGGTCCTTGTCTTCCGTTTTTGTTAGTATGTGTTTAGAATGAGTGTATTTGTTTTTGGTGTTGTATATTTTTATTGGTAATTTACTGAACGGTATTGTTGTTGTTGTGCACTTTGTGGATTCTTGTTGTTGTTTCAGAGTCGTGGTTACTGGTGTACGGTTGTTGTTGTTGTTATAAACTGCCTTGTATAAAGATTTATCGAGAGCTGTGTATCCCCATTGTCCTACCTACCCGGGTGATCACCAGAACATGACCGTTGCACCCTGATGTTCCCATTTAAGTGTAACCTAATCAGGGCGTTGGGCCTTGTAGTTAAGTAGTTTGTAGGTGTTGTGTGTTTATTAACAAGAATTAACTTCCTTGTGATATTTGTTTTAAAAGTGGTCTATGTAGTCTGTTTGTGTGAGTTTTTTTTCAGTATCAATTTGTGGATTTTATGTTCTACTGGGCTAGGTGACCTTCGGCCAGTGACCGCAGGTCTTATATATGTGTGTAAACATAACCTGGAAAAGCATGGACGTTGATATCATTATCAACAGAAAATATAGGTGAAGGGTATAATACCACGATGAATACACACGGTAAAACTGCTCATGACCTGTACACTAAATATAGCACATCAAACACACTGTCAATACATAATGCTGTATTATATAAGATATATTCAAAACAAACACGCTAGGGCATTCACCAGCGCCTAAGCCATTGGTAATGTTATTTATCTATGGCATGTTTAATGGCCATTGATCTGCACAATCCTGATAAGGGTAAAGACCCCTGATGTGTTGCACGCGCTTGGTTGAGAGATTAGTGAACACAGATACACACACTATCTGATAACGATTGCAATTTTTGAATGATCAAAATACATGTATTTTCTAAGTATTTAACTACAGTTTCTTATTCAAGACCTCTTTATTTTGTTTGTGTTTACGTTCTTATCCCGTCTGTAAATTGTACTACAAACAAAGATACCCTCGAGCATTCAGACATGATTGTGCAGAGGCCAAGGACGAATATTTATGACATAATCATTATATTAACACACGAGGCCTGTACACGTCTACACACTGTTGTAGATATAACAAATAATCGGACTTGCACAATTTACTGTCGTTCGGGTTTCCGAGATCCGAATAAGATTAGCTAGAATTTATGTGTAAGTGAAAATAGCTATTTATCAAACAAATTTTGAACAAGACACAGCATGATTCGTTTTATGTGTGTATGTCAACACAAGAATTAAGAGCGGGAAAAATAGATCTAAAGATTATACGCTGTAAGATGCAAATATTCTGCGCTGGGATCTATTGTATTGATTTAAAGGGTCGTCGTCAAGATATCTTTTTTTAAATAAGTGTTCTTCAACACGGATGTGAAAGGCATAACGTTATTTTCATAAATGGTCAGATAGGACACAAAACAGAAAGTTCAAAGTTCGTTTGTAATGATTGGCTGTTATTCTAAACGTTGTTTTTTTAATCACGATATGATAAAAAGTTTATCAGGTGTTGATAATCGAGTCCATGTGTCTCGGTATTTCGAAACAGTGTAGAGGTGGAAGTCATGATCTGTAAAATAAATAAGGCCTAAGATGGGAATGGTAGAGTGCTTTAGTTACCCTCGGTAACCCTCAGTGCTGTACCTTTGCTGGGAGGCAATATAGCTATATATATATATATATATCAAACGGAGATGAGCATTGTCCATATTGACACATAGACAGGTAGATAATTATGACATCCGGCATAAATAAACACATACACTAAACCAATTACAGATGACGTAATTGCCCCGGGTAGATAATTCAGTGTCATTTTTAAAAAATATGTTTTGAGGACAAGAGAAGTGATAGATTTGCTACACATCAAAGCAATGCTTACAATTGAAGACATGGAAAGGTTAACTACCTAATACAAAGAAATGAAACATACCAGAATAGTTCCTTATGATATTATCATTTGACTGAAAACATATGACTTTTAGATACAAGACCTTTTGCAATATCTGACTTTCATATGTGGAGAGGGAATACTTTAAATTTTTTTATCATATTGGAGTGTGAAATTTGGAGAGATCAGAATTGAATATGCATTCATTCCTTTATCATTTTTTTTTTGTTTTTATCAACTATTATATTTGTGTTTTCTTCATGAAGAAATATTGATCATTAGTTGTCAAATTGTGCCCATCCCCATCAAATGTTTGATTATTTATACTACCTCATGAGCCTCTTTGCCCAGGAAATTTAAAAGATATTGGTTATCACACACACACACACACACACACACACCTCCCATCCCCCCACACACAATTGTTGGAGGAGGAATAATTGTAAGTATACTTGTAATAACAAGTTTCATGCACACCTCACAGACACCATTAATTAGGTATTCGTTACCTGCAACAAAGTGGTATCACTCACTATTTGCATAGATAATGTGAAAAGAATTTAAATTGAAAACACGTCCTGTCGGGTAGAAAAATGGATTACGAGTCTTCATGTTATTCGTGTGATTGGCCAGTTTCGGCAATACAATACAATATATAACAAAGTCAATATTAGCTTAGAGGAGCTATTATTACGACAAAACATATCAATATAAAAGAAAAAAAAAAAAAAAAACACACAATGTGAAACATACGTGTATGGACATAAAACATGCACAGAGTAGTAACTCGAGATGTTAATTACGGGATTTCCATTGATTAAAATGTACATAAAGACACAGCATAACTGAACTGAAATTATTTGCCATTTTCATCTAACTTCCATGACACAACTAACTTTTAATTCAAGTTTGTCAAAGTTTTATCAATTTGTTGGAATTTTTATCTACAAAACGATAAAACTATTTTTTTTTCTGAAATGCCGGTATAAAATCTCTAGTTAAAAAATTGTTCACTCGAGCGGAGCGGTATAAAATCTCAAGTTAAAATGTAGTTCACTGCGCATGCGCATGTAACGTTCTCAAAATTGGGGAAACACCTAATCTGGAAAGTCCGTAGCATCGGTAGCTAACAACAAACGCTGCCAGAAAACTTATGCAAGTACACAGCGGTAGATGGTCTGAATTATCCTGCCATATACTAAATAATGAGTACACGACAGGAATTTAAATTTGATGACGGACAAATTAAATACGACTCTTTAAGCGAAGATGCCAGGAAACATCTTTTGCTTTGCAACAAACCTAGGAAAAATGTGTATCTCGTACTACTTCTAAGTGTTGCATTAATTCAATTTGGTATCATCTGCATTTTAATTGTGCGGTCTACACAATGTCAGAGTTCTGACCAGGATATAGCCGGCTCGAGTCAGCAGATGTCAGCTCAGCATGTTGCTCAGAAAAGCACTGTTATTGAACCTGAACCTATAAATTCTCTGTGCTTCCCGTGTGCAGAGATCGGTAGAAACATTACAGAGAATGACTTCGGCGATATCATAAAACTGGACAAGAAAACAAACATGTGTTGCATGCAAGACGTGGGCAATCTGAAGAAACTGTTCTTGTTGGTAAGTGTATGTTTTGTTAAAGGCGATTACCCAGATTGTTGTTTTGTATTACTAACTAGGTCACGGTATGAATGTGTGTGTGTATATATAAACGGCGCCAGTTTTAAACGAGTTTACAACGGATAGATCCTCGTCATTCACATATCGGATCTATGTAAAACTAAAATCTTTACGAATACTTTCAAAAATACATACAGGTGTAACCTTTTAATATCTTTCCTGTTTGCATCAGTTTATGATTCTTTTCTAGCATAAAATAGAATCTTTATAAATCATTTTTTGGTTTTCCTAATTTTTTCTTCCCTATTGCGCTGTAATCTCACCTTAAACTCGTCTTTGTCTTTTGTATACAAAAGAATTGGCCAGTGAACTTAGAAGAAGTTATGTTAATTAACAATGCTAGTATATAACGATTAATCAGCTATATTACTAAAGGCACAACTGATTAGCAAATATTTAGACAGTCACTGTTTTAAATTTGACAATAAAACTGACGTATGTTTTTATATTTGACAATTATCTACATGAACTTATGTAGATATTTACGAGAACTAACACTAACAGTACTGTCTTTTACTGGGTTTACCGAGCGGGCTTTATAACCCCTACCTGCTGGTTAGACCATGTCTGAAGTTAGCTTTGCATATGTTTCGATTAATGTTAATTGAAAATCAAGGTATGTATCACTTAACACTAAAAAGTTTTCCCTGTAACGTTACTTACTGTTACAGGAATGATCTGTTCACATACCCATTTTAACAAAGTGATGTTAACAATGAATTAATCATTCGCTGAAAATTTTCAGAGAGCTAAAAATATTAATCATGTCCGACAGATGCGGTGTACAATCGATATATCAGATGTTGTCATATCATATCATATATCTGCATCATATACGCTACGTCAGCCTATCGTAGTATAAACATTACATGATAACAATATCAAAACTATTTTTTTTTAATTTTCTGTAAGGTGATTACATACACACATCGCTTGACAATTATATGAAAGCAGGTTAAAAAATCAATGAAATATTCAAACAGACGTCCTGGTTGACAGCTGCACGTTTTCGTTTTGACCAATCAGCGTTACACATTTCAGTTAGTATTTAACATGAACCTTTGCTAGCACCCAGGTGAAGACAATAAAAATAGCATGGGCTGATGTAATATCATCTTTTGTTTGATTTGGTCATAAAACCATTAGAAATCATGAAATATTCACTCATGCCATAACATGGGACATCCACCAGGAAATGTTTGAGTATTTGTATTCATATTCAAAACATTCTAAAATTTCCTTGTCAGGGAAGTTCGATGTTTTGAAAATTTCAGTGCAGGACTCTTAGAGTTGGATTTGTTCAAATTTCTGCAGTGTACATTAAATCCACACTTGCTACAAACAGTAATCTGCAGACTTAAATCTGTATGCTATATATTAAATAAGACATTTTTGTTGAGTTTGTGCTTGTCCTTTACGATAAAGTTCAACTCAGGTGACCGTGAAGGACTCAGGGCCTCTTGTAACTGTAGAACTGTGTGAAATGTAATAGGGCGTATCAGATTAAATGATTCCCTGCTTCAGGATGCGTGTTGAACGTTTAAATAGAATACATACTAACCAGTGTCTACACAAATGTCCTTTGTTATGCTTCAGTAGGTGTTTAACATTTTATAAAGGTATATCTATGTATTTGTGTTTTTATGTGTATATATGGTAATTCATTCTCTTGTGCCGTATTGCAGATAGTCAACGAATATTACAGAAACGTGAAGAATATTTCAACCAATACAGATACGAATTCAGAAGCAAATGACGAAGAAAAAGATTCGGACGAAGGTAGCATTGAAATATTAAACTTTCAATTTGCAAAACACCATATATAAGCCGTTTTGCCTTTTCATAACAAAACAAAAAATCACAGCTCACAAAAATCATAAAGACTTTATGGAGAATATTGAGTAAATATTTCCGCATATAAATAATGTAAACATTCAATTGATTATTAATTTCCTCTTCACGATATGCATGCAAGTATTAAGGACACAGTTACGCACGCCTAATCCTCTAATGCCCGGTGCTATAGATACTACAGTGAAGTATTAAAGGTACGACAGGAAACATATGCTTTTCAAGTTGGTTTAAAAATTAAGTAAAATACAGTGAACGTTATGATTGTGTTAATTCGTATAAAAAGTTCGAAAAATAACATTCCCAATTACAATCATTCAAAGTATATTTTAATCAGGACATGAACAAATGTTATTAACAAAAAAGTCATTACGACTTAAACAATATCACCTATATGTATATATGTATATATGAAGCAAATTCATGAAGACCCTATATGGTATGACAACATGGCAGATACATTCAAAGGTTCGAACTCACCGGAGCCTATTTTTACTTTGTTAATAGCTGTTGGACCGGTTGCTGGTTATGTTGGAGGTTCAGAACAGACGACAAAGGCCCCGTCCAAGCCTAAGCCACTATCATTTTGGAAAAAGAGAGAAATTGCTGCGCACTTGTTCCTTGACAACGACATTCTGAAACACTCCAATGAAACTGGTAGGTCGATCATTTATAATCACATAAATGACAAATCGATATCCACTCGTGACGCTATCGATTTTTCGTCATACCAAATGAAAATTAACTATGAAATTTCCATCTCATTTCTTATAAAGTCTTAACTGTTTTAGGACTTCACTAATTACATTCTGTAAAATGTATTTTTGATATAATTTTTACAGCATTGAATATATATATGTATTATATATATACAGGATCTGAGGTAAATTTTCATTTTCTGTGAGATTTTATGAAACAAGCCCGAGAAGGTTTGATTTTGAGCTTAATGTTCCAGGAATTTTGCGTTACAGAACTTGGCCAGACTGTTCCTTTATAAAAAACAGTTGGTAAAACGAGGAGTTTCTTTAAGGGAACTGAGTCATTAAATCCACTTATTATGCTTCAAAATTTTCACTTTTAAGAGCTGTTTCTATTGTCTATAAGTTACTCCTCTCGGCAACAGAGATGAGCCCCGTACCTTCCGTCCGAGCTTTATTTTGTGGAATACACGTTTCCACATAAATTGACGATACCTGTATTTGATTTATTGTTTTCAAGGCCTATTTAGGCGGTGAGTAAATCATACACCTGGACTTAAGGTGCTAGATGACGGAGCCAAAATTCTTTTTTTTTCTTACACATTTTTCTTTCTTCAGTTTTGGAAATGGGGAATGAAAATGGTACTTTATCAAATACTTTGTACATGCATTAATAGTAGAAAACAATTGATAAGGTTATTTCCTGCTATCTGCTTTATATAATATCTTTATCATGGATATTAAAACACATTTTAAAGAATCTATATTAGTCGTGAACATTAATGGACAGAATCAATCAAGGAATCTGAATTCTAGTGTCCAACTGAAAACTGTCAACGATAAATAACCATAATAGTACATTTTCCGTATTATTGCCGTAACCAGTTCCATCGTTCCATCGATGAGTTAAATCGTCTTTTAAAACAAATCATGAAAACTGTTCAGATGGATGGTACTTTTTGAATGATTTAGACAATGTTATTTCTTGCAATATAAATTTGGTATCACATGGATATCACTTTTTGAAATTCGATGTTGATGTTAATTTTGCCATGTGCGTGTGAACTTAAAACATTACTTTGATGTCTGGTGCGATACGTATTAACTATATCACTGTCTATTATGAGTCCTGCACCGCGTAGGGCATAATGGGATTAAGACATCGATTAGAAGATAGTAAAAGAGTAAGATTCTAAAATATAACATTAATGGTGATGCGGACTGGATCTTAATTAACTATAAATAAATCCTTCAATTCTTTTGTTAATTAAAGACACGTTTCACACTCTCGAAGCTCGCAAACAAAGCTATGAATGAAACATATAGAGGTTACACAACAAGTGATTGTTGTGTATGGTACTTCCTCCTCTCGAGTTGGCGATTTTTCTATAGTTACAAAAGGAGGCGCTTTATCAAACGTTTTTTGAAGTAGTGATAAAATGCTTTCGAAAATTGTCGATGCCAAAAATCACGAACACTTAAGTTATTTCGCGGTCAGTAATATGTATAAAGTTAACACGTGTGTTTATTTAGATGTCTGATTATGTAATTATTATTGTTTGTTTCTAGGTTCCACCAATTTTGCAATGTTAAAATGGCTCCTTATTTTGGGGTAAATTTCAGTGATACAAAAAAAGTCCTGAATTATAATTTACTGTTTTGCCTACTCCGGACAACATTTTCTAATATATGGCTTATTAACCCTACGTCCGTTATCAAAATGATTGAAATGTGACTATCATGATGTTTGCCAGCTAAATTATTCTGCTATTTCTGCAAAGGAATGTTCAAATTTCGTATCTATTAGAGAAACAACAGAGGAGAGAAGATAAAAAAAGGGAAAAGATCAAACTTTTAAAGAACAAATAGAAATCAAGTAATTGTCGGAACCAAGATCCCTGTGGGATCTCTTTTACAATCAGCATGGTTAACTTATATGGTCAGTATCGAAAAAGGGAGCCATTTTAGTAAGTAAAAATAGAAGGAAATGTGCTCTCGAACCGAACATAATCATTAGTTTAAACAATATTTATTCAATAATTAGTATTTAAACACAGACAGGTACATTTAATCTTTTGGGATGGGAAAACAAGCTTTAAGCTTATATTAATTCCTTTCCCATGTACATAAAAAGACAAATATAAATCGGAACTGGAACACCTAACATCGACATTGGACGAAAAAGTAATATTTACACATAACAATAATATCTATAAACTTACGCACATGTGGTGGATAGAATTACAAAATGTAATTTGTAACTTAAGTAGTGGCACCTTAATTCATTGGTATGTAAAAAAGGTTACCTTAGAAAGCTGCTTTCAGATCTATGAAACAATACATGATGTGCAGTATGGTATTAAGAACTAAAGGACCAAAAACATTAGGTAAAACGTTTACTGAGCTTGAATAATTTTGCACGGTCAAGAATATTTGTTCTTTTTTCTGTTTAGAGTAAACATCGTTTCCCCATAATAGAGTTTTTTCAGTTAGAGTAATATCTAGCTGACGTAAAGTTTTTGTCGAATTATGTTATAATTAGCACAAGACAATAAAAATGGTGGGTACTTTCTACAAACCCGCATGAACAAAATGGACTTTCTTCCAGATATCTTAAGTATAAATATTGTTTGAGATTACTTCATTTCAGCCGCAATCGTGTATGCAAAATTTGAAGGTTTCTACTGCCAATATTAAAATAGTGAGGAATAATTACATTATATTTTTGTAAAAATCTTTTAATTATCCTGACAGACGGATTTTCGCGAATATTGATTGGTAAAAAATTCCATAAATGTACTGCAGAATTAAAAAATGATGTTTTATAAAACTGAGTCCTGCAATTAATTAATAGTAAATGGGTATCTGATACCTTACTTGGAATTAGATTGGACAGGTAAAATGGAGTTTTCGTATGATACATTGATCTCGTCTTTTAGAAAGTTTTTCCCAACCCACATTTTTTAACAATAAACTAATACTTGACAATTTAGTAGCACCTGTAACTATTCTTGCAGCTTCTATTTGGATCATTGCGTTGACGGTCACGTATGCTGGACGCTCCATGATCCATTTTCTGCAATGAGCACGTGGATGTATCCTTCGCCATTAGCGAAAGCTACACAAAAAGACCGTTTATTGTCTTCAGCGTTATTCTATGCTGAGACGGCTGTTCATTTAGTTTTTTAGAATTTCCCCTAAAAAGTCTTGCACATGGGTAAGGTACATTATTTTACGCCTGAAGATGAGCGAATAGCATTCCATGTGGAATCTTCTATATCGCTTCATTTAAATGTTACCTTCAATTTGGTGAAGCTAGTGAATACCAGAGAAACAAGAGATTTCTTAACCAAGTCACGCACGATCAAATTACTAATAGATCTAATTAATGAAAAGTATTGAACGACGTCATCGTATTTTGTTAATTAGAATTTTTTAGATGGATACACAGCGGTGTTCCCAATACGTTGCCTGTAATTGCGTTGGCTTTACATGGATGATCTGCAGTCGTAAACCAAGATCGTTTTAAGCAGTTCAAAATCCTTAAAAAAGGTAAATAAACATTGTTCAAAGATTTTTTTTAATATTTTCAAGTTACTTTATACAGTGTATGACAGTAATGGATGTTATAGTGGAACTAACAATAATGATTATAATGAAACAATTAAAGACAAATATAATTATAAATCTTAAACTTTAATTTATGTGAAGTTTTACACACTCAGTGACTCAAGAGTATTAATTGGAATATTGAAATGATAGGTTTTGTTTATGTTTTTACAATTATGGCTGAAAATGTCTTTTCCATACACTGATTTATTGACAGTTCGCATATCATTTGAAGTTTTCTTTATATGTTCTTACTAACATGTTCTTTATAAGTTATGTAATACATGTATTCTTTACTTCCATCTGTTCTCGACACATCAATAAACTGTCATGATATGATAGTGTTCAGGGATAAACGGGATTATATTAATCAGGTGTTGGCACCAAATCACTCTCACCAATCTACGCGTTAGTAATCTTCTACGAATGGATATTGGACTCCTCTAACATTTACTTTACAGATAAATGCATTCTTAATCAGTCGGAAAAGAATGACAGTTGATGAGTAAAAAAATAAAGAGACAAACTTACACAACTCTGCATTATTTGATTCACACAAGGTCTTAAAGTGCACAGGAGGTCTAGACACACAACTACCATTCTTTATACCGTTTAATGGTGACACGTTAATGCCTTACGGATATAAGATATTTTCATAGCAACAAGCCGTTTTATTTTGTGACCTTTACGCGACAATTAATGCGTAGCTGTATGTCACTGCTAAGAGAGAAAGTAAATATAAACCTTGGTATTAATAAATATTTTAAAATGTAAAATCTAAACATAAAAATGATACAATAGCACAATGTTTTCTTACATTCTTCAAAACACATTTTCCTACACTGTCGTATATTCTTATACATAACACTTTTGAAAAGTAGTTCCTGAACAAAAGTTGATTTAACTCGCTATCGTGATTTTTCAGATACACGAGACAAAGCACTGTGGATGGGAAACAAGAGAAGCAGAATACTTTGTCTGAGTGGAAAATTACTAACCTATACGTTATGACTTTATATTTGATATCTAGTCATTGTCGACACAATGCACAAATATATATATAATAACAGGTATATATATATAAACACAAAAGGCCAACACGGCAAATAAACTTGATTATCGCGTTTTCAAGCCGTGTCTCTGGCTATCTTCAGGCGATTACTTTAATGTTTTGGTAACAACATTATGACGTAATACAATCAATAACATATACCTGTCGTCAGCTTCCTCAGAATGTTGTGCAACAACCAATTATTGAATTTCAATATGAGCACTACGACAATGCAAAGCCTATTGCTCGCCATATTTGGAGGGTAAAATATGTGCATGAGTGCACATATCATATTGCTTTGTATTGTGCTGGACTCTGTTAATGTATGTTCCATTGAGGTTCTTCTAATTGACCAAGCATTGTCGTATACACAAACACTAATTAATTTTGAATAGGTAATATATGTTTTGTGAACACTGTTCTTTGCAATATGATAATTTCTTGTATATATATTGAGAGTATGCAGTATATTTCCGAAGTTAATTGTTTCTAAAGATGTAATATCATACAGGTGATTTTATTTATTTTATTTATTACATGACTAATAAAGAAATGAAATATTCAAAGTATTGAATTATTTATCAATTACTTATCAAACCCCAGAACCTTTCTAATTCAGATAGGTAAGTGGGAACAACAGAGCATACCAATAATATATTTTCAATTATTATGCATATACAGTCTGTATATCCAATGTAGTGACATTACCCCTAAGGATATGAACTGAACATTTCATAGATCAAAAATGCATGACTCTCACAACACATGTACTTAAACATACCAGTGCTCCTTTCATAAATCGAATCGAAACTTAATATCCAAGCTTATCCTTTTTTATCATACATCCGCTGCGTTTAATTAGAGTGAGCGTTAAGATGGTTTCCAGTCTTATCTATATATCATTTGTATAGATGTATATCAATACATGTTTTCTATTATATTTCATATGAAATACCTCAATTGATCTTATCTTTTTATCTTGTCCACCACTAGCTCCCAGGATTCCTTGGGATGGACGTGACTACCACAACTTGTCAATGACTAGTCACCTGTTGACTTACGACCCGGAAAAACGGAGCATCAAAGTCATTGAACACGGTCTGTACTTCATCTACTCTTCAGTGACATTACAAGCACCTGCATCGGATCTGAATGCTCAAGTGTACCATATGCTATTACGTGAGCATTACTTGCTTCCGGAAACCGGAGCAACCATTATGATGATGAATAAATACGGTGGAGGAAAGCAGTCAAGTGGCTTCTACACCAGCTTCTTGTGTGGCACATTCAAACTCCGCAGAGGTGATGAACTGTTCGTCAAGGTGTCCAACAGTTCTTTCATGTATCACCTGTATTATTCGAACTATTTTGGCTTGTACAGGCTGTCCAGTTTTTAACTTTCAGTTAAAAAACAAAAAACAAAACAAAACAAAAAGTTAATAAAAAAAACAAACAGAAAAAAAAAAAAAAAAAACAAACAGAAAAAAAAAAAAAAAAAAAAGAGAAAGCAAAAACAAAATGAGCATAATAATAAGATAGTAAAATAGAAAACAAAACCTTAACAAAAATCAAACCAAAAAATATTAAAATAAATAATGAAAGACACAAGACAAAAAAGGATAATAGGGAAAAAAAACAAAAAATCAAATATAAGAGAAAAAAACCACAAAAAACAAAACAAAAATAAGGGGAAAAAAAGAAAAAAAAAAAGAAAAAACACAAACAAGTAAAATAAAAAAAAAAACAAAGGAAAAAAATGATAAAAATAAACACGTTTCAACTGACTGGTCTTTTTAATAGATGAATAACAATTAAAAATTATAGACATTATTTCTTTTTATATACAAAATGTAAACATATTACGCAATAAAAAAGTCAGTTATCTGTGATATTTTTAATTGAGATTTTAACGACCACTCTTCATTCACATAACATCTTCTATACCATATCATTTAATATATCCAGTAATATTTAGTGGCTTAACGTCCTGACAACATCCAGGGTCATATATAAAGTGGAGGCAAGCAATGTTGCAACATGCCATGTTGGTTCTTCAGTGTTCATTTAGCAGAGAACGAAGACGAAATTACCTGCTTTGTAATGTGTTTAATGAACATGGATGGAACTTTCCTGTAATATGGACCTGGCTACAATATAAATATTATACTTTATTTGTTAACACTATATGACAATCCTATATCCCCACTTCTGCTCTCCAACCCCGATGTTTATGGTATTTATAATTATGAAATGCTAAGCTATTATTTTTTTTTATGTTTTTATCATTATTTGTTTTGTTGATTATTTCTTTACTGCTAATCTACTGCAGTTACAATTGTTAAGTTTTTTATTCGTTTTGATAAAGTTAATCCATCACTCGTATTGTGATTAATTTTTTTATAATAAAAGTTATTGATCTATACTCTCATCACCTTGATATACTTGAGGTGATGCTTTAAGTATTCACATCAGGTAATACACACGCGGTAATATGTATTATACTATACTTATCATCATATGTATATTTGTGTTAGCATGGTAACCCAGTTCAGAGACTGCAGCTTGTTATTTGTTGTACATGTCTTAGGTAGCAGTACACAGTTTCTCGGTGTGGCCATGGGTGATTTTTTTGCTCATTAGATTACCCCATTATAAAGGTTTTAATTAAAAATGAAAAAAAAAATCCTTGCTAAAATTGGTCCTGTCATGTTAAAGTGGACAATGTGGGGTTTCATTTTTTTCAGGATAATATTTTAGCTTTGTGTTGGAGATTACTAGTTACTTTACAGGAAGTGAAATTTTCATAGTGTTTACATGTGGTCATGTTATGAAGAATTTCCGAGTTGGAATTTGCTGAAATGTAAGTACTTTGTTACCATGACAGTGTTTTTGATTGTAAGATAGGTGTTTAGAATTAAATTTCTCCTAGAAAGTTGTAGTGTTGGGTTGGAATTAGCAGTATTTTTGCATTTTTAGCATTTTTTCAGTAGGTAACCATGACAATCAAATGTCAGAAATCAGAGGAATTTTTTTTTTACACAAATTTCATCTCTCTACTGTTAATGTAATTGTTATACAGTTTATAAATATATATACATGTAATGATGTATTTTTCATAACCAATCTGCAATACCTGTATATCTCAAACATGACAAATAATTTCAGGAAAAATGCAAATTAACTGTTTACTGCTACCTTATCAACGAAAAACAACAGGGAAAAGAAATGTTGTCAAATGGTCATTTATTAAATGACAGGAACATTTCAAATACAACCATAATATCAATCACTGTTGTTATATAACATATAGATCTGAACGACATTTACTTCAGTCTATATGTACAACGAAAAGATGGGGTACAAATTATTGGCACCGATGAGAGGCGCAAGATACATATGCATGGAGGGATACATGATATGTAGAAAATTGCACCTCATCACCCCTTATATGTACATATTTTGGTTATTCAAGCAGCCTTAAGATGTCATTTTGTAGAAGTAATACGCTAATGTGAATATAAATAAATGTCTTTGTTTATCGAGACAATGTTATAAAGTGTTTTTGTATGAAGCGAGTGTTCAATTTTTTTTATTTCAGAGAAAAAAATATTTATTTAACCAAAGGCAAATGAAAAGTTAACATATGTGTCCTAATACAAGAGGACTTTCATTCGACATATGTTCACACACTCCTTTCATTCCTAGTTAGAGTTATCTCCCTTGGGACCATAAAAAAACTGTCCAAGTCGAATATAAACATAAAATTTACAAAAACAAACACTCCGCCGTGTCAATGTCCATTGGTTGTGGGGAGACTGTAGTTCCGCCTATTAATGTTACGAAAATCAATAATAGCATATACCTTGGAAAACATGTAGCATTTTATTGGTTCTACTGCTTATCTCAACACTACTCTAATGTAATTGGTCACTTTAACAGACACACGGTCAACAAGAAAACTCGATACTTAGCTGCAGAAGACAGTGGAGTCCGTCTACGTAAGACTCCTGACTGTAAATACGGAGACGGAGACCAATTGCTTGAACACTGATTCTGGTGCAAGATTTCTAGATGTAACTATACGATGACGTCAATTTCAGATGTCTTATCACAAATATTAAGCGTTTACGTCGATTTCTGGTTGAGGAGTGACGCTGGCGTAAGAGTTTTAGTATATACAGTGACGTCAACGTATATTGATTTGGGTGCTTGGACAGTAACGCCGACGTTTCCTTCACGTATAAAATAATATCCCGAGACTTTGCTTGGAAAGGCAACTGCAGTGACGATGGTTCAATTTAACCGAACGTTCCTGTTACTGGTAAAGCATCGACAAGGCATAGTTTCTCAGTAATATGACAGCACTCTGTCCAATATTCCAATGACCTCCCTCTCCGTTCAACATTTTATTTATTTTCAATCTTTTCTTGAAATTTCATTATACATTTTCTGTACCTTGCAAAAGTGGCTAATTTCATTCTTTAATATTGACAAACAGTTTGACCATTTAACTGCCTCCAGGCATGATTCATTGTCCATCAAGCGTCTTGTGGAAACGCCGTATGCTTTTCCTGTGGCATGTTACTATTTTATTCATGGAGGGTGTTGACATGCAATTCAGAACCATGTCATTCATTGGTTCTATAAAAAGTTTTCTGTACATATATTGATCATGGGTATAAATGAAACAATTTCAATTAAAGGATTCTTTCGTCCATTAATAGATCTGTCGACTTATATATCTAGGCCAAGATGACGTTTATAGCAGTGTTTGGAAATCTTTCAACAAAAACATATAATGTATGCTTTCTTATGAAAACAAAAATTCAGTTACAACATCCTTCAGTTATTGACATGCGTTGCTATTGATAATGATTATTCTTCATTTGCCACATCGAAATTAAATCATTTATTGTATGGTAATAATGAAACAATTTTTCCAACCCAAACTGCATTCAACCACGTTATGAGTTATACATGTATATACTCTATTCAATGGGGTTTCCTCTTCGTTGAAGTCGAAACATATATTTAATTTTGAAAAGCGTGGCGTGCATATGTAGATCAATCGCAGTATATCCTGGTCGATTCTAAAGACTTGTTATTGTGTCGAAATGTGGCAAGCAACTTCTAAAAAGACCTTTAGTTGTGGCAGTTCCCAGGGTAGATTAGACCATTGATCAATAGATAATACCATATGATTTTCTGGACCAGAAACCTTTGAGATGTTAAAAAATGTATATAGATCTGCTATGCCTTGATATGAACATGATATATTTATTATATATCGAACACAGAGTCAGATGGTACACACGTAAATTTCGTTGTATATGTAGCCATAGACCAATCGTGCATATAATCTTCAACGAAAAAAATCATATAACATGATTATTTAAATAAACAAGGTTTCCCATGACTGTTTTAGGTCACCAGAGACAAAGTCTTATGGTGACCTATTCTAATACCCTTCATGCCTCGTCTCTAAATCAACTGACCGATTTCAATGAAATTTTGCAGAAACCTTCCCTGGCCCAAGATGAACCAATTTGACTCACAGGGCCTAATGGGAGGGGCCAAAGGGAGTCAAGTTAACTTTAATTTCAAAACTCTTCTCAAGACTCAGATATGGTATAATCAAATACTCTTCGTGAATGGAAGCATCACAAAGTACTTTATCAAAGTCATGAATTTCATGGCCCCAGAGTCTCACATTTCCCCGTGGGGAGGGAGTAAAATTTACTAAAGTTTATAAAGGAAAAACCAGGTTTTTGAGACAAATTTGTTTAATATCCATTGGAAATATTTCAATCGTGGTTAGAATTGAAGTGAACGGTGACTGTCTGATTGCTATGCCCATTTTGATCCTGACTGACCCCCAGTTGCTGATGGGGTGGGGGAACAATGGGAATCAAATTGACTCTAATTTCAAAACTCCTCTCCTCAAGACATAGAAATGGTATCATCAAATGCTCTTAATGAATGGAAGCATCTTAAAATGCTTTAATTACCGAAATAAGTCTCACATATCTTCCTGAGGAGGAATATGTTTTTTTAGACTTTACTGTAATTTCATAGAAAATTGCATTATTTAGCATAACGTTGGTTATTCCCACTGGAAATGACTTTATAAAACTTTTTAGTATAGGATGACAGTTTTGATGGTATGCATGTATTGACACTGGCTTAATATATTCAACGTAACAATTTCTGTCTCATGACACTTGCTAACTATCCTTTAACGTTTTTATTCAATATAGCTTATCTCAAGTAATCGACAAGGCCGCTAGGCCTCTTGTTTAGATATTGAATTGATGAGTTTAAAGAGAGTAATGTAGTACCTTTCGATTTAACTTGTATTGTATATAATAATTTATAATTGTAATAAATCATAGGGTCA